CTACCAGATGTTTATAAAGCTCTTTGTTTCTAAGCAGTGCAGTCATATCTAGCGGTCCTAGTGGGGTGTTCGGTATTTCATCCTCGACGTCAACAATGCCTTCATTTATTGCATATGTGCCAAGGAGTCGAAAAACAAAAGCAACAGTAAGATCTGACACAGGTTAAGATTATATTCGGACAAATTATTAAATAGTATTGATTTGTAAATTTACCTTAAAGGGACAGTTCACTCAAAAATGAACAGTCTATTATTATTTACTCACCCTCATGTCAGTGCAAACCTGTATGACTTTCTATCTTCTGTAGAACACAAAAAATACATTTTGAATAATGTTTTAACAGTTTTTGTGCATATAATGAAAGTCAGTGGGGCCCAATGCAAATCTAAACTCAACTGACTTTCATATGGACATTTTTATTGTGTTCGACAGAAGACAGTTTCGGAATGCAAAGGTGAGTAAATTATGACAGAATAACTAATGTTTTAACACATTATCAATGTCAGCAGACTTCAGACTTCACAAAGAAAAAGTGTTGTGGAAATCAGGAAGGAATTTATCTAACCAAATTCTCATTCAAATTCTTGAGGAAGGCTAAAGAAAAAGCCCTAAAGGTCACACATGAGGCTATTCATAGTTTGCCCACATGCATTAAAGCCATTTCATTTACACTCTAAAATAAGAGTTCATCAGCTATGGATGCTGATACTGAGCTGCTATATTAATGACAGTGTTTAAAAATGTCTTGCTATTTGCTCACATGCATAATGTTAGTCAGCAGCAAATGCATAGCAACAGCAACAAGAATAATTGTATTAAAAATACATATATTTTTAAAGCATTTAGACAGAGCCGTCACCCGCAATCTATAAGTTTGTTTTAGAGACAGCATGTGTGTGATTAAAAGGCACATGTTGATCTTTGACTACTCAAGGTTGAGGTAAATCCGTTACGCAGGTTATTCACCTGTACTGCCCTCATATGAATAACAAACTTAGGCATACTGAATTTGTGTAGATGTCATTAGGTAAGCCTTGCAAATAAAGAAGAGAATGAAGTGTCTATGAATGAACTGACTATCAATGCTGTTAGTTTTGATTTATCTTTCCTTATAGTACAGACTAAAATTGCTACACAGATAAGAAGTGGCATGGTGATTAGCAAATTTCTTTTTGTTGAACCTGATACGCCTACGACAAAGTAAATGGCAAATAGCATCCCACATGCACTTCAGCAGAAATGCATTTTACTGAGAAGAGCATGTGAAAATGATCTACAGATGTACTGCTAATCAAAGCGTTCTGATTGAGCTTTAAAGACTTTGAAGATCATCAGCATTTGCCTTAGGCAGTTTAAAAATAAAATAGTGTGTCTATTTTCCCAGTGCTACAGATCGGCTGCTGTATCTTGCGTATTTTTAGAAACTCCTTATGCAATCCAGACACAGACAGAGCAACTCTTGGTCAGGGCGGGAGGAGTCTGGGAAGCATGGAGGGCTTAACAACGAGAAAAGTAAGAGATAAAGAGATTAAGAGAGAGTAAAGACCTGTACGGAGTAAGCAGAAAGGGGAGGGTAGAGGAACAGCCATGAGTGACTAAAACAACCACTTCCCACAGTGTTTGGTTTCATAATCATCTAAACTGAATATCCACCTTATCAGCATTAATTCTCATATCAATCTCAATGAATATACAAATTAGTCTTTAGTAGACGCACAAAAACCGACAGCTTGAGAACACAAAAGCTGAGGTGCTCCTTGATATGAGACAGAATAAGGTTACATTATCTTCCCCATTCACTGGTTTACTAATCAAATTCAAGCATCGTGGTCCTTAGTGGTCAAGAGCTGCTGCTTTTCTGTTTAGTAGTCTGAGCTCAGTGAGGGCCTGCAGCTGCATGCATGATTCATTAGCAGTAGAACACCACAGAGAGCTGCACCAACTACTCCACCCTCAACTTTCTTGACCACATGCTCTCAGAGTTGCTTGTAGGGCTGGGCGATATAGCTAAAAAATGTATTAACGATATAATGTTTCATATCGTTCGGTATCGATAATTATTGACATTTTTTATAACCTTTTTTAAAACAAAGAGCAATAGAAAAAAATGTTTACATTTAACCCCTGTATTTTTAAATTAACTCAATCTACTGAGACAAACAACAAATATTTGTTTGTTTTAACAGTCAAACACAAAATACAAATTAACCAAATATCTAATTTCTAATGTTTTATATGCAGATTAAATAGGTTAAACTTTTGGCTTGTTTCCCAAGGCCACAGGAGGGCGCAATGAGCAAAATAATGCAGCACATTAAATTGTCAAGGCAAGGAAATAACTGTCTATAAAAAACATGCATTATGTCTAAATTAACTCATATAAATAGGGCTGGGTATCCTTCAAAAATTTTCGATATCAATACCGATACCTTGACTTTGATACCGGTTCCTGAACGATACTTTTTTCGATACCAATTTAATGAAATCAATTTTAACAAGATTACATTATCTAAAAAAAAAAAAACCTTTGATTGTCTTATGCAGCATGATGCTACAGTTTGCATGAATGGTCAACATAACACGCGCTTTCGGTCATGTAGTATGAACGGACATTTGCATATGATTGGAACTCCACACAGCTCTCGTGCTACTCTCCATTGGAAATGAATGACCGGTCTGTCGCTTGTCGTTATGCATGGATCTGTTCCCCGCTTCTCTCTTGTGATTTTTGGCCTCCCCCTCTCTCCAATTCCATTCCAGCCCTGCAAGACCAAGACCTGACCTCCGCTTTAACCCATGGCACAAAGCACCACAGCTCTCTGTTGATGTTTATAGCATGCAAGACAACCTAACAAATGGCTGTGATTTAATATTTTTACGTAAAACAACATTAAAGTCAGCATGAAATGAAAAAGTTATTTTCTAAATGCATCTTTTGAATGATTCGTCTATGCATGCGTTTAATTTCTTAATTTTTTTTGAGTTTATCATTTTTAACTCTTCTGCTGTGCTAGAAATCCTTTACACTTTTTAAAAACTGCTAGTAAATATCTCATTATGCTATATTATCAGCAAATCTTAAATTAGGCCTACATTTTTTTGTTAACTTGTTTTCTTTCCCACGGTTTTTGTATTTCTTTTTGGAACTGATTGGTTGTAAGCCTCACTGATTTGAGCTTAGGAGGGAAAGATTTGTGTGACCAGAAAAGTGACCAAAACAAAACATGAGGGTTTATTACAATGTAATAACTAAGTATTCAAGTGAAATATTCAGATCTGTCTCAATCAAATCAAAAACCAATGGATAGAACAAATTCCCTGTCTTACTTTTTTTAAATAATCAGTTTCACGCAAATGTATGTCACAAAGCGAAAAAGAAAAAATGTGTTGCTACTTCTGCTACATTGTGACTTTAACAAGAAACAACATTATAATTCTGGCCATAACAAATATTAGTCAATAATTACTTTAAAATTATATCACACAATATTTTTTATTTAAAAGTACAATTAGTTAAATAATAATAATAACAATAATAATAATAAAAAATCCTGTAAAAACTAAAATTAATATTTTGTTGATGCAAGTAAAGGTTAGATGAGGGCAAAAGTAATAAAAAATATGGAAAAGGTATCCACAATTAAATATCCAATATTAAATGAATAAATAGAAATAATCATTAATATCAGTATTTATATTCATATGAACACATATGCTTATTTGCAGATTTTCTTTCATAAATGTTCAGAGTGTTTTTAAAATTATGATGAAATTATTTTTGACAAAGGACAATGAGGATGTGCTTTCACAAAAGGTCATGAGTACAATACAAATAGCTACATTATTTTCATGCCTTTTCTACTGGAACATTTTCTTAAATGTCAACCATCCATGTAGGCTACATTTATCCACTGTAAATATACAAATAAATCAGAAAAATTACACTTAAGGATGGTATGTGTGACTGGAAAATAACAAAACTTTAATATGTCTCAGACAACTAAACACAGCTACCATTTGGAAAATGTCACCAGACAGTGTAGAAAAAAAAGAAGAAACAGAAAACAAGCTGTAACTCATTAAAAGACGTTAAAAGAATGACATTTTAAGACATTTTCATGTAGAACAATAGAGGAATGTTGTATGTTTGGTCTGTGACAGTTCATTCATAGAGAAACATCTAACAAACAGCAGGAGGTGAAGACTGTCACACCAAACATAAATGGACAACCAAAGGGACACACATAAAGGCATCTAAATCTGAATGATTTTGTTATCTGTAGAGCAAATACTGCCATTCTTCATCTCAAAGTACAGTCAAGCACACCCACAAGTATATGAACATGAACCACTCCCAACTGAACTGCATAAGCCTATAAGAAAAACACATCAGCAAGGCTTTCCTCTCCAAAGACAGATAATGGTGCAAGCAATAACAGTCAGTAGTCAGCTGAGATAAGTCTTGCTTCAGCAAACCTCTAAGCTTATCATCTCGCAACCAAAACTTCCAACAGGAAACGATTACTCACCCACAACTCCACTACTCATACAGATATTATTTTGCAACCTCTTTGCATGCACATAAAAGGACACAGAGACCTTACAAATAAGATTGATTACTGTATAAGCCTCAAATTAAGGTTTTATACTCATTTCCATCAATATGATCACGTTTGCAATAGTTTTTCGACAAGCACAATAACCTTAAGTGAACAATTCTTTATATAAACATTAACAGGTTTTGTTCTCATGCTATAAGGAACGTATTAATATGCAACTGCAAGTGTTTTAAGGAGCAAAACAGAATGTTGTCCATTAAACTGAAGGTTAGGCAAGAGAAAATCAAAGCAGACCTCTGATGGTCATGAAGTGCATGAACCCAACAGATGGTGCCAATTGTCGGTTGCGAGACATGCTGAACTTCTTTTTTCTCGTTAACTCTAATGCACTGATCAATAACGGACACAAACAAAGAAAAAGACTGCAGATTTTGACTCACCGAATGGTTTATTCCCCACATGAGAACACTGAGGAGAGGGTCGCTGGCACGAAACAGCTTCACTTTTTGACACACGAAGTGTTTCTTCTTCGTTTTTGTTTTGCTCGCAAACGATGAGACAGTGTTACTAGCCGATGCCATTGTTTGTTGTATAACAATAAATTAACTATCACACAGTGACAAGTGTTTTAATTAAGCTAGTGGGGTCCTCTTAGTAAAATATCAGTTGGCATAACGTTCAGTTAGCTAACCGCAGCCAGCTAGCTGTACCAACTCAACTATTAGATCGCTAGACAGATTAATATCTCGCCAAATGTGCTACAAAAAGACTGCTGTTACATATAACATTAAAGTTCAGAGCAAAAAGCCGTATTATTTGTAAGTTTTCGTCCGTAAACTGCAAAAGCTCCTTAAGACTTCATTAGTAAGCCCTCCTTACTTGCTAACTAGTTAGCCTGCCGAGTCAGTCTCCCCTCGGGAGCTTTTCTAACACTTCGCTTAAAGAAAAAACAAACCAAATACTGACCGATACCACTGAAAATGAAGAATAAAATGTAATTTGAGCGACGTCAGTTTAATTTGAAGAAAAAAGAGCGGGTGGAGACATCCACTGCAGCGCTGCTCCGTTAGCATGCTAACTCACCCAGTCAGGCTAAGCCAACAACCCTTCAAATATGTCTCAAGCAAAATCCCACTCCCACTTTCTTTCTTCGTCGTTTGTCTGCCCCGAAAAGGTGTTTATTTTTAGGCACAGCCAGTATTCCGAGTGCGGAACGTGTCCGAGTCTGAATTCGGTGTGAATTTTGTCAGCTATATTGCTTAAAGTTGGCGCATCCGGCTCATCCGCACTGCTATACCAGACTGACGGACTGACAGCTACGCGCGCGCACACACACACACACACTCACACACACACACACGAGCACACACATACACGCTTTGATTTATAACTCAAATACTTATTTTCATTGAGTTCAATCTAGATTCAGAGGGGAAGATAAATGGCTAGAAAAGCCGAACACAAACAAAATTTGATTTGGCACAAAGGTAAAAGCACGATAGATAGATAGATAGATAGATAGATAGATAGATAGATAGATAGATAGATAGATTTCTAACACTTCGCTTAAAGAAAAAACAAACCAAATACTGACCGATACCACTGAAAATGAAGAATAAAATGTAATTTGAGCGACGTCAGTTTAATTTGAAGAAAAAAGAGCGGGTGGAGACATCCACTGCAGCGCTGCTCCGTTAGCATGCTAACTCACCCAGTCAGGCTAAGCCAACAACCCTTCAAATATGTCTCAAGCAAAATCCCACTCCCACTTTCTTTCTTCGTCGTTTGTCTGCCCCGAAAAGGTGTTTATTTTTAGGCACAGCCAGTATTCCGAGTGCGGAACGTGTCCGAGTCTGAATTCGGTGTGAATTTTGTCAGCTATATTGCTTAAAGTTGGCGCATCCGGCTCATCCGCACTGCTATACCAGACTGACGGACTGACAGCTACGCGCGCGCGCGCGCACACACACACACACACGAGCACACACATACACGCTTTGATTTATAACTCAAATACTTATTTTCATTGAGTTCAATCTAGATTCAGAGGGGAAGATAATAAATGGCTAGAAAAGCCGAACACAAACAAAATTTGATTTGGCACAAAGGTAAAAGCACGATAGATAGATAGATAGATAGATAGATAGATAGATAGATAGATAGATATGCATTTTAATTGTACTTGAGGAATGGCTTAATTCACCAAAGCCCATGGTGCCGCTGGATGTGCTGTATATTCTTATGGTACAAATGACTTTGTATGGCGCTCCCTGTTACACCCAGGCTAGATCAGCCTACTGCTCAGCATGCTCCTCATTCCAGCAAGCAAACATGGAGTGGGTGGGTTCCACTCTCCATGAGTCTGGACATGATTCTCATCTGAAGGTCCAGGTCTGATCCAATGACAGTTCATGTCATCTTAGATGGAGGACGCTAGACTCTAGATCTGCAACACTAATGACATGTTCTAGCTTAATGTATTAAGTAAATAAAATATAATTAAATAATTATATAAATATATAAATATGCATTTATGAAATGAATAGTGCTTTCGGAAAATAATTTCCAAAATAAATAAATCCAATCCAAAACTTTTAGAACAACAAATAAGACATTTATTTGACTGATCGTCACATAGCCTAATTCACGTGTCAGTGGATATTTCATGTTTTATGGGGATGGCATTACTAGGCTACTGCTGTTGGTGTTAGTTAAATACTGGGAAAGCTTCTGGGTTACGCTTTATTTTAAGGTGTCCTTGTTACAGTGTAATTATACATTTAAGTACTGAGTAATATTAATTAACTACATGTACTTACTATATGGATAGGATTAGGGTTTGGCTTAGGGTTACGTGCATGTAATTGTGCATATTTTATTGTTATTATGATAGTAAGTACATGTAACGTGTAACAAGGACACCTTAAAATAAAGTGTTACCAGCTTCTGTTATTTCAGAATTTCTCAAATTTTCAGATGTTCTTCTGATGATTTATTTAATTCTTTTGTGTATAATCTAATAAATTATTACGTCAGAGCCACCTAACGGTTCATGACCGACACATTTTAAAAAAATAAAAAAATAAAAAAATGACCAAATATGTTTGGGAGTGATTCTTGCCCCACCTACAGGTGAAATGGTAAGTTACATCTGTCACCTAGCAACAGCAGCAAGCTAAACAGAAACCCAAACACAGCTTTCAGCGTTGCTGGTATTTTTATGTTTTGTAGAAATCATTTATTAAGATATTAATTATTTATCTTGTTGAACGGTGTTCTGTACTAGTTTTTAAATATTGTTCTTTTATTTAGGCCCGTGAAGTATTTGATCTCTAGATGGGGAAAAAAGTAAAAAAAGAGTCGGAGCCATTCTCGAAAGATGTGGTGAGAACATTTTTCTCCACTCGTGTGATTTTGCCGGGCTCTCCTGAAATATTTCGCGACCTTTTAATAACTTTAATGAAAAACTTTTAATGAATAACACGTCTTATTCTTTCAGTTCGACCCTTTACCTATCGAGAGCAAAACAGCAGCGACAGCGGTTCTTATGCTCAGCTCTCCTGAAGAAGAGGTGCTGGCAAAAGCTTGTGAGGCCATCCACAAATTCGCAGAAAAAGGTAACTGTCATCTAATCTTATAGTCATCATCTTAAGGTCACTGAGAATTTTGCAGAGGTAAGTGCTCACTATATTCCCATGTGTGGCTCTCCTTGATCGATCCCTGTGTGTTTTGCTGTTGTGTTGATATTTTTAGGTGATGAGAATAAGACTTCTTTGATGTGCTTGGGAGCGATTGAACCTCTTTCTCGTCTCATATCTCACGAGGACAAGACTGTGCGCAGGAATGCTGTCGTGGCTCTGGGCGTCATGGCTTCTAACAGTAAGTAGGGTATATAAATAGGCACTGCTAGTAAATCAAAGGATGTTCGGCAACATAGTTTTCATTTTAGCTGTCATATTTAAACAGATGAAGTTAAAAAGTGTTTGAAGAAGCTGGATGTAATACCTGCAGTCATCAGCAAGCTATCACCTGAGGGTAATGGCACATTTTATAATTTCATGTTCAATTTTAGTACACACCCACACCCACACATATGTAGATAGATATATATATAGAGAGAGAGAGAGAGAGAGAGAGAGATCTTTTGTAACAATAAGTCTTTACTGTCACTTTTTATTAATTTGACATATCCTTGCTGAATAACAGTATTAATTTCTTTTAAAAAAAGAACAAAAAAGTACCGACTACAAACGTTTGAACATTCGTGTATATTGTTACAAAAAATTATATTTTGAATAAATGCTGTTCTTTTTAATGTTTTATTCATCAAAGAATCCTGAAAAAAGTATCGCAGTTTCCAAAAAAAACATTGATAATTCTAATAATAATTCAGCATATTACAATGATTGATTTAAAAAAAATCTATAAGGATCATGTGACACTAAAGACTGAGAAAATTCAGCTTTGCCACCAAGGGAATAAAATATATTTTAAAGTACATTAAACAGAAAACCTTTTTTTTTATTGTAATAATATTTTACAATATTTCTGCTTTCACTGTATTTTTGATCAAATAAAGGCAGCCTTGATGAGCATTAAAAAACATAAAAATTTTATGTTTATATATATATAATTATTAATATTTTTATTTTTATTTTTTTTTATTTCTTTTGCACAAACCTTACCTGCCACTTTCTTTTCCTCAGAGAATGTTGTGGTCCACGAGTTTGCCACTTTGTGTTTGACATCATTGTCAGTGGACTTTTGCTACAAGGTCCAGATTTTTGAGCACAAAGGGCTTGAACCTCTTATTCAGCTCTTGTCCAGCCCGGATCCTGATGTGAAGAAAAATTCAGTGGAGTGCATCTTTAATCTTGTACAAGTAAGACAACAGATGTCCGAGTCAGATAGAAGGTCTGTTGTGAATTAGACTAAAAGTCATCGGTCAGGGTGGTATTTTACAGCACTAACAAAACACAATTGTTAGACGAAAATTGAATTTGAAATGATTAGTATTTTGAACGATGCCATAGATATTCGATCGGCTTTAAAAGCATAACTCTTTGAATAGCAGAAGGATGCAGTTAAAATCAATTATTTGTGCTCTTTTCTTCTTTGTGCACACTCAGGATTTTCAGAATCGAGCGGCCGTGCAGCAACTAAATGGACTCCCCCCGCTTCTGGAACTGCTACGCTCAGAGTTCCCAGTTATTCAGCAACTTGCACTGCGCACCATAGAGAACATCACCACTGACAGTGAAACCCGCGTGGCCTTTAGGAATGTACAGGGCTTTGACAGAATCCTGGAGATCCTCGGGACCAAAGTAGACTAATTATTCTCATCTGAATTATTCATGAGCACTTTTTGAAACTGCTCCTTAGTCACCTTTATTATGAGCAATCAAACTTTCTATATAAAAGTTTAGAACAATTCAAGCAATTCAATGAAAATCAAGCAACACATGATTGAGCAGTAATGGCAGCTGTGTCTCCTCCCTACAGGAGTTTAGTGACCTGCACGAGGAGGCTCTCAAGGTTATCTCGAACTGTCTGGAAGACAGCGAGTCCATGCAGCTTATTCAGACGATGGGTGGTCTGGAACAGCTACTGCAGTTTGTTGGCACATCCACACTGCCTGAAGCACAGGCTAATGCAGTTAAAGCCATAGCCAGAATGGCACAGAGCGGTATGGAAAAAAAGCCTCAGTTCTCTGTTCTTTTTTGACAAATGAGTTTGTACTCTATACACTATCAGACAAAATGTACAGAAACAGCTTGTCACTCAAAGGTACATCTTTGTACTTCATGTACAATGTTTTATTTTGGACCTTAAAGGCGTAGAAAAATCGAAATTCTGTCATTATTTACTCACCCTCATGTTAATTGAAAACTTTGATTGTGGAACATAGAAGAAGGCATTATGTGTGTTTTACTAGTGAGACAAGTGTGGAACAACATGTGGGTGAGTAAATGTTGACAGAATTTTCATTTTTGGCCAAATTGCATATTTGTACTTTAGTGAGAGCGCATTAGTACTTTTAAGGGTGGCCGTTAGTAGCATAAATATGCATATTAATACCTTAGGAGGACATATTAGCACACATTAGTACATGTTTGTACTGTAAAGTTGCATGTTAGTTCTTAAGAAGACATATTACTAACATACATATTAGCACCTCAAGAGGATATATTAGTAATATTTTAAGGGTGCATTACCGTGCATATTTGTACTTTAAGGTAGCATATTAGTGCCTTAAGAGGACATATTACTACTTCAAGTGTACATATTTGTATTTAACAGGTACATATAAGTACTTT